GGTCAACTGCCCCTCCGTCCTCGTTGTCTGGTGTGGTGTGTTTGAGGGCCTGCAAGACCAAACCAGCTTCCAGACTTGATTTAGAGAAGTTCTGGTTTCCTGTGTTCCCGGACGGTTAAGAAATACAAGGAGGGGCGATCAAGATAGCGCAGCAGGTAAAGGCACCCGCTGTTAAGCCTGAGGACTCGTGCTCAGTTCCTGGAACCAACATGATGAAAGAACCAACTTCTGCAAGTTGTCCTCTGACTGCCACAAGCACAACACAAACATACACATATGTATGTATGTATATGTGTATATAAGTTTCAGGACACGAGAGATGGTTCTTCCAGAGGACCTGGGTTCAAGTCCCAGCACCCGTATGGCAGCTCACAACCCTCTGTAACTCTAGTTCCAGGGCATCTCCTGATGCCCTCTTCTGATTTCCATAAACACCGTGGTGGTGCACAGAAAACAAAAACAGAACACACCGTCCCAACACACACACACACACACACACACACACACAGGAGCAGGGAGCTGGCTTTGAATCCTAGCCCATCTGCTTTCTTGCTATGTATCGTCAGTTTATTAGTCTCCTGAGCCCCAGTGTTCTACGTCACAGCACAGGAGTGATGGACATTGGCCTGGCCCTTATGAGGCTGCTGAAGAGAAGACTGATGCTAAAACATTGATTCCCATACGGTCTCTGCCGACTTTGTTTTTCTCACCCTCAAATCTCTCCCATCAGTCCACCTGTCCGCTCACTCACATTTTGATAGTCTCCTTCAGTCCAGAGCAATGATCAGGCCTTCTCTTTATGTTCAAAATTGTGACACTGAAAGTCCAGTCCTCTTGTGAAGTTCCCTCCGTTGGGGTTGTGTCTGGTGTTTTCTCGTGATCAGAGTTATGCCGCCTCGGTGGAGGTACTGTATAAGGGCTGTCTATATTCTTCCCACTGCATTCTGTTCGGGAATGCACAATTCCAACTTGGTCTAGTAATGTTCACGGATCGACCAGCTTTCTTTCCTGGGAAGTGTGTTTGGAGCCAGGGACCTTCTGAGTATTAGGCTATGTATACCACACCGCAGAGACAGCCAGGTGGACAGCCTCAGCCACTCAGGACACATGCTCTTGCCTGGCTCTGGGCCTCGGTCCTGACTGCAGTCTCTGCCCCTGTACTTGGATGTGTGCATACACCTGGGTGTAGAGGCCAGAAGTTGACATTGAATGTCTTCCTCGATAACTCTCCACCTACTTTAATGAGGCAGGATTCGTCAGGGGACCCAGAGTTCACCAACTCAGCTAGTCCAGCCAGGCAGCTTGTCCAGGTACCCCAATCTCTGCATCCTGAGCACGAGCATTTGTGTGGGTGATGGGGATCATACTTGGGCTTTCAGGCTTGCATTTCAGGTGTTTTACTTACAGAGACATTTCGCAGGCTCTTATTTCCCTTGTTATTAATAAAGCATGTAAAGGTGGTGCCTTGAAATCATGCATAATCTATTCCTATCACACGCTGCATTTCCTTACCCAGACCTGTGTAGACTCTGACTTCTTATTGGGCTCACTACAATCTGTTATCACCGTTTTTCACTAATCACGTAAATCAGCTTGTCCTACATGCAGCTCATGGTAGGCTAATAACTGTCCTAGTTTGCCTGGAACTGTGGTCTTCCAGAACTGGCAGCTTTTAGCAATAAAACTTCAAGAGGCCTGGCACACCCCGAGGAATTGGTCAGTCTTCAGGGTGGCTCTCATGTCTGCCGGGCAAGGTCTCTGCCGTTCCGTGAGTACTTCCTTTCTAGCTCAGTATGATAGCCTAGGCTCCTTCCACGCTTCCTGTGACCAAGAAGCACCCATTTGTTCAAGCATACTTGGAACCAGGGACCTTTTGAGTACTAGGCTATGTATGCCACGCCACAGAAACTTGAGCCAGCTGGACGTGTCAGCCATCGGGCACACCATGCTCTTGTCTGGCTCCAGGCTTGATCCTCCCTGCACTCTCCACCCTGTGCTTGGCAAACATCTCCCTCCTAGCCTGAGATTCTCCAGGAAGCCTGCTCCCCACCAGCCCCTGAGGAGCCAGGCTGCTCTGAGCCCCACCAGGCATGTTAGGTCATCTTTGGAAGGTGAAGCCCTGGCTTCAGATTCACCTCTGTCTCTTCTGACCCGGGGAGGGCCGGAACAGGAGGTTGCTAGTTAAATGGTGACATCCAGCTGCACACTTTCATGGACTAGAAAAGCAGACAGGGCAGAGGGAAAACAGCTCCCTCAAAGCCACGCTTCATAGGTATAGATTGGAGCTCATTTTTGAATTGTTTTGGTGCTGATAGAAGCCACAGCTTTGGCCAAGCCCAGCATTGGTTCTGCTGATGACTTTTCATCCTTCTCTTGCCTGAACGTTACAACTCTTTAACATTAAGAAAAAAAATAATGCAGCGTATTTGTGTATGTATGTGTGTTTGTATGTTTGTATGCAGGTGCGTGTGTGTGCTCGAATCCTTTTATTCAGAGCCTGAAGATGGGAAGGGCTGAAGGCCTGACCTGGTACCCTCAGCAGGGCAGATCTAGCTGGCCTCTTCGTGGCTAGAGCTGGAACTCTCCACTCTAAAATGGCTCTTACCCCTCAGAGTGTAGCTGGGCATGGTGGTGCACACCTTTTATCCCAGCACTCAGGAGGGAAAGGCTGGCAGATCTCTGTGAGTTCAAGGCCAGCCTGGTCTACAGAGCAAGTTCCAGGACAGTCAGGGCTACACAAAGAAACCCTGTCTCTAAAAACAAAGGAAAAAAGTTATTGCTAAAGCAGTACTTCAGACATTTCAGACACAGAAATACAAGCGAAAGGAAAACAAACACTGCTAGCAGACAGATGGCTGCTGTTGTCACTTCAGAGATTTGTGCAACTCCAGCTTTTTCTAAGCATAGATTTTCCTCACTGCACTTTCCAGTTTGTAACATACTTTTTTGGGAGGTGGGGGACAGAAATTTCCATTATTTGTTTACATAAATTTTCAGTGCATCTAGCTGGGTTTGATGGTGCACGCCTGTAATCCCAGTGCTCGGAAGGCAGAGGCAGGCGGATCTCTGTGAGTTCTAGGCCAGCCTGGTCTACAAAGTGAGTTCAGGACAGCCAAGGCTACACAGAGAAACCCTGTCTCAAAAAACTTAAAAAAAAATTTTTTTTTCTTTCAGTGCATCTAATACTCAGATCACCTTCATGCTTCTCAAGTTGTTCCCAAAATGTCACTTCTAAGCTGGGCCTGGTGCTTCAGGCCTGTTGTCTGAAAAGCTGGACAGGAAGATCACAAAATACAAGTCCAACCTGGGCAACTTAATGAGATCCATCTCAAAAATAAAAAGCAAAAAGAGGTACAGGGATTTAGCTCAGTTGTAGAACATTTGTCTTGCATGCATGAGGCCCTAGATCAAATCTGTGTTTAAAAGAGGGAAGAGCAGCAAGAGGAAGAGGAGCAGGAGGAGGAGGAGTATCCTTTTTATAGCTAATGTATAACAATCCAGAGTCACACTTTACAAATGTTGTTTCTCCGGGCTGGAGAGATGGCTCAGCGGTTAAGAGTGCTGGCTCTCTTTTAGGGACCTGGGTTCAATTCTTAGCACCCACATGGCAGTTCACAAATGTCTGTAACTCCGGTTTCAGGGGACTGACACTTTTACACAGACACACATATAGGCAAAACACTTATACACATAAAACAAAAAAATAAATCATTAAAAAAAAAAAAAAAGGCTAGGCGGTGGTGGTGCACACCTTAAATCCCAGCACTCAGAAGGCAGAGACAGGCATATCTCTGAGTTGAAGGCTGGCCTGGTCTATACAGTGAGTTCCAGGACAGCCAGGGCTACACAGAAACCCTGTCTCAAAACAAAACAAAAACCGTAACAATAAAAAGCCAAAGGGTGGTGCCTGTTCCCTTCATTGCGACACCAGCCTGATAATGCGCTGCTCACCTAGAGATGGGCTGCCTTGCCCAGCACCTGGCTGTGCCTGTCCCCACGGTGTCACTTCGCTTGTTCCTCTGTGCGCTGTGTCTTCTGTAGTCTGAAGTGCAGACATGGTGCATAGTGAGTTTCCTGTACGTATAACCCCAGCTGGGAGCAGCCTGTCATGTACTTTCTCAGTGCCAAGGCCTGTCCCGGGTGAGGGGCAGTGCCGCCTCTCACAGGCAGAGTGTGAAATGTGGGTTTCCTGTGTTGGGGGGGTCTTGTAGACTACCCAGGAGAAAACTGTTGTATTCGCTGTGGGGAGCTTTGTCTGGGGGGTGTTGGGCGGGATAGAGCAAGGTCACCAAATCTCACCTTTTGGAATGCAGATCTTGAGAACTCTGGTTCTGTCTTTACTTGCTTCCCAGACTTGTGAGCTGGATTAAGTCACAGCCCTGCTACTTAAGCAGCCGGGTGACCTTGGGCAGGGTACTTAACCTCTGTGAACCCAAGTCCCTCCCTGGCTCTGTTACCTGGCGTGATGGTAGGGAGGTGTGAGGCGCGCTTGCCTGTTCTCTCCCTGAAGGGGGGCTCTTTGAGGGCGCAGCTAAGTGATAGGAAGATGTCTGAAGTAGTCTCCTAGCAATTCACTGTCTAGCCCAGGCTGGCCCCTGAACCTAAGGCCTCTCAGGTGCTTGGATTACAAAGATGTTTGTTGAATCACACACATATACACACACAAGTGTGGTCAGGGGGTATGGGCTTTGTGGGCACTTGATTTTTCATTTAATGTCTACCTGTCTCAAGCTCCTTGGTGAACTAACTGAGCGTGTGCCCACAAGCTGCTCCCAGGGGATAGGAAAGGCCCAGGCACGGAGGGTCCGTGTACAGGAGCCTAGATGGTTTGCCTGAAAAGGGCTTCTGAAGAGGAGACTGGGCTGAGCTGGGGGGCTGACTGTCCCTTTTTTACAAGAGGTTTGTGGGGAGCGAAGCAGGCTGGCTTCAGGGTCCCCGACCCTGCGTCTTCTCCTCTCCCCTGTGCCTGCGTGGCCCTGACAACCCGGGTCTGTCTGCAGTGCAGGATGGAGTGCTGTGATGTGCCTGCAGAGACGCTCTATGACGTCCTCCACGACATAGAGTACCGGAAGAAGTGGGACAGTAACGTCATCGAGACCTTCGACATCGCCCGCCTGACTGTCAATGCCGACGTAGGATATTACTCTTGTGAGCAGGCACAGGACAAGACCCCACCCCTCAGCCTCCCTCCCCAACCTCCACCAAGCCCCCCAGGGCTGCTCAGAGACCTGCAATGCTTCGGTGGGGAGCTGGCCACTCCTTGGGCATACCCACACACTCTGAGTGACACAACAAAGATATCACTCTCACACACGCACACACACACAGGCAAACCCAGCTGCGAGTCCACCTACCACGAGACACACTCCCGTGCACGGCGATGGCAGTGCCGTCTTCCTTTCAAGTATATCCACATGCGCAGACAAGTGAGAGCAACGAGGTCAGGGCTTTGTGGGGCTCTGAGGGACAGCGTAGGCAGAGACCACGGGGGACCACGGGGACAAGGGTGGTGCTGTGTCCTCCCTGGTTCCGCTGTGTGTCTGTGGTAAGGGTGGGCTTTTTTTCTTTTTTAAACTTCTCTGGATGGGGAGGGCTGGCAGTTAATAGGATCCCCATGTCTCTGGCCTCCACCACACCCTTCCTTATAGGAAGATGGGCCACAGCCTGGCTGAACTGTTCCTTGCCCTCTGCAGGGAGGTGTCCCAAGCCCCTGAAGAACCGTGATGTCATCACCCTCCGCTCCTGGCTCCCCATGGGCGCTGATTACATCATTATGAACTACTCGGTGAAGCATCCTGTGAGTCACCTGCCCTCCCTCCTGGCTGTCGACGGGCAGGGCTGGGCTGCGGCTGGCACGGTGACTTCAGGCAGGCATGGGGGCCAGTTTCCTTCCTGCACAATGAGGATAATGACCTCCCAGCAGGGTCTGTCGAGTAGCTCAGGGAGAGGGCAGTGTGGGTCGTCTCTGCAGTGAATGGGTGGGATGAACCGGTGTGGTTGGCTGGCTTGGGATAAGGCTGGCCTCCAAGTCTGGGAGCAGGAGCTAGAAGGCAGGCAGGATCCTGTGGTGGGATGTACTTGAACTCCCTGGACAGAGAGGGCAGGTAGGTACAGTTAGCCCAGGCAAGGGTTCCATACCCATCAACGCTCATAAGCCCTGACTGAGCCTGGTGCTTTCCCAAGGGCCCTGAGGAAGCACAGTGAGAGGGGCACAGATGACCTGGCCTGATAATTTTTTCCTTGACATACTCCAGGCCTGGCTGGGCACAGATGCCAAGGCACAGAAATAACTAGGGGTTTGGAGTGTGTGTGTGTGTGTGTGTGTGTGTGTGTGTGTGTGTGTGTGTGCGCGCGCGCGCTCAAGTGCATGCTGTATGGAGGCATTCCCTCTATCCCTAACCAAGTGACTCCCCATGCCTTCCATCCCCAGAAATACCCACCTCGGAAAGACTTGGTCCGAGCTGTGTCCATCCAGACCGGCTACCTCATCCAGAGCACGGGGCCCAAGAGCTGCGTCATCACCTACCTGGCCCAAGTGGACCCCAAAGGTGAGGGCTTGGCCCTGCAGTCTGTCAATGGGCTCATTCCCTGTACAGGGAACGGACCTGATCTGCCAGGCCAGCTGAAGGCCAGCTGAGGGATCCATGTAGTGCTGGCGGCATCTCTATCCAAAGCTCGTAGTTTGAAGGGAATAAGGTAGCCACTGCTCCTTCAGGAGCTTGGAACCTGTCTTCCTGGTGCGAGCATTCCTAGCTTGGACCTGCTCCTGCCCTGCCTCCTTCAGCCACTTCCCAGAGGCCTGGGTTTTCCAAGGCTGTCCTTTCACCTCACTTCCATGACAGCTGAGCACGCCTCTCTTTTGAGGTGGCCAACCTCCCAGACATCTTTCTCAGGGTGTCTTCTGGACACCTGGACTCATTGTATCAACCATGAACTCACCACTGCCCCTCCAGATCCATCCTTTCTGTATATCAACAGCTTGCTTTCCGCTCACCCCTGCTCAGCACTTGCTGTTTAGCTGGGGCCAGCTTCTCCTTGTCAGCTCCCAAATCCAGCGCTTAGTCTCTTGCTCCCTCCCCTGATTTCTCCTGACTCACTCTGTGGCCCAGGCTGGCCTTGAACTCACCATCACCCTGCCTTCATCTCCTGAGTTCTGGAAGTCCAGGCACATGCTATCATACTCAGCCCCTGTTGTTGGTTTTTTTTTTTTTTTTTTTTTTTTTTTTAATGTACATTGGTGTTTTGCTTGCGTGTATGTCTATCTGTGTGAGGATGTCAGATCTTGGAATTACAGACAGTTGTGGGTGCTGGGAAGTGAATCCAGGTCCTCTGGATGAACAGTTAGTGTTCTTAACCACTGAGCCATCTCTCTAGCACCCTGCCCCTGGTTCTGACCTTTTCACCCTCTGACATGGCTCCTAGCCTGTCATTCTCTTGGTACTTAGCCACTTTGTCTGTCCAAACCCGCTACTAGAGGAAAAAAAATAAAAGAACACTTACTTCCCCCATGACTCACCTGCTTAAAATGCCACTGTGGCTCTTGCCCTCTTGAATGCAGCCTGAGCCCCTGCCCGGGATTTCTCACCCTTCCGTTTCTCACCTCCACGTCCATACAGCCTTCATCCTCGCTGGCTGTACCTCCTCTCCTTCCTCAGTGCTCTAGGGATACATGAAGTGGCCCTTCCTCTGTCCCTCAATCCCTGTTTGTGGGCCCATTCCCCCCCAGCAGAACACCAGCCCATACTGAGACATCAGACACTGAGTTCCTATTCGGGTTCCCCAGTCTGGTCCAGGGTGGGTGTCACGGGGAATGTGGAGTGAGTAGTTACACCTCAAGCGTCATTGGCAGGAATGCCCAGTGGCCCAGGTTAGGGCTCCTTGGCCTATAATGAGTATGCCAAGTATACTCAGCAGGTCCTTGGGAGAGAGACAGATGGAGAGCTGGGCTGCGGATTCCAGGTCAGGCTCTGCTGGAGTGCTGGCCTTAGGGGGTCTAAGAACAGACAGGAGAGAGGCTGAGCACCAGGGACAGTCTTGGGTTATCAGTGTGAGGTGAGGGAGGTGACAGGCTGGCGCGTGGGTCAGAAGGTCAACCAACAGGTTACCTGAGGTCTCCTAGGTCCCTGTGGTTTTCTCGGTAGCCAGCAGAGAAGACAGTGGGGCAGAGATGAGGGAATGTGGGATTTGGGAATTTCATCAAGAAGGAGTGAAAAGGGGTTGGCCTCCCTTTCCACTTCAGACAAAGGGAGGAGAGCTGGCAGTGGGTGGGGCTGGGTGCCTAAAGGCTGCCTTTTCCTCCCACCTCTCCCTGCCCCACAGGCTCCTTACCCAAGTGGGTGGTGAATAAGTCTTCTCAGTTCCTGGCTCCCAAGGTAAGTGGCTGTGTGCTCTGGGATACAGAGGAGGGGCAGAGTTAACGCTGGCCATAGCTCATGGACTAATGGGCCAGGTCTCCAAACTGGCCATAGTTGGGACCCTGGGGACCGCAGGAGGGCGCTGGAGGGATGTGGTCCCCCAGGCATCCCTGACAATGTTCCACCTGTCTGCAGGCCATGAAGAAGATGTACAAGGCCTGCATCAAGTACCCTGAGTGGAAGCAGAAACACCAGCCACACTTCAAGCCGTGGCTGCACCCGGAGCAGAGCCCATTGCCCAGCCTGGCACTATCGGAGCTGTCCGTGCAGCATGCGGACTCACTGGAGAACATCGATGAGAGCGCAGTGACCGAGAGCCGTGAGGAGCGAGCAGGCGGTGCAGGTGGAGAGGGCAGCGACGATGACACCTCGCTCACCTGAGCACAGCCCCCTCTGCAAAGGACCAAGACAGGACTGATGCTGAGCCCTGGGGCACTGAGCCTTCTGCACTTCTCCCCTCTCCCACCTGCCTTCTGGGGGCACTGGGCTCCTGCTCAGGTGGCTGCGGCCTGGCTGGACATGGCCCCAAATAAATGAACCGCACAGCCCCAACCAGCTGTTTCTTGCGCCTGCTTCTCATCTGCCCGGCACCACGTTATCCTGTTCTGCCTTGTTTTCCTCAATACTATGATTGCCCTCTGGAGCTTTTGTCCCTACAGGCATCTTCTTTCTACTTGTGTGACTGTAGGATGGGGGCTGCTGCCGCTTCCTGTCCTTACTTCCAGTCCATTTACACATTCACTTCGCTGGTCACAAGGTGGCTTGCTTGTTTTTCAGGGCCCTGGGAGCAGCTGGCCTGGCCCGAGGTCAGGCTCCTGCTGTGTGACAGGGTTCTGGTCCAAGCGAGCTCTGTGCAGTTGGTCTGGCACACTGTGGCTCCTGTCATTACAGAAGGAAGGAGAGGAACCCATAGGTCAGGGGACCAGGGCCGGGCACCTCAGAACTGTGATGGGGCCGGGGACACTAGAGGAGGGGGAGGGCGGGTACTGTGAAGACACATTTGCACATAGAGGCTGTTGGTATTGAAGACCTGGGGCTGATATTAACAGGAACGGCGGGGTCCCCTCCTCTGACCAGGTGCCAGCCCTTACTTGCGTCACACCTCCATGCCCTGAGATCTAGAGGGAGCCTGGGCTGCCTCTGCCGTGGAAGAAATGTCCGGAGCCCCAGGGTTGTCTTAGGCTCTGCTCTCCTCTGGGATTTTTGGCATTGCAAGAACTTGGAGTGGAAGTACTCAACAAGACCTGAGCCTGTTCACCTCTCCTGCAGAGCCCTGCCAAGGGGAAAACAGGGGTCTCAGGGTCCGGTTCTCCCCCGAGCAACAGTTTCAGCAGAGAGAGAGGCCTCCACAGGAGACCCTGTCACCCGCAACATTGCAGCTCTAGGTCAGCCCATGACAGTAACTGAGAACACCCTGGAAATTACAGACTCATTTCCTAACCTATAACCTAGGGTGAGAATTTTTACCCTTAAGCAAGTGTGAGGTTTGTTTTGTTTTTGTTTGTTTGTTTGTTTGTTTGTTTTTGAGATGAAAAAGAACAAATTGTTCATCACTGGGCCAGGCATGGAGTAAGCTCTCTGATTAAAGGCACCTTCCTCCTTTCAGGACAGCCCCCTTGGCGCACCCTGCTAAAAGCTGTTCATCCAAATATGCTCATTGTACCTTTGGAAAAATAGGAACCCAGCTAAGTTAAGGCCTCTGGCTTGGCTGGTCCCAGAGAAGTCCTGGCCCCAGGATCTAGGAATGCCTGCCAAGTCAGGGGATTTCATCTGTACGGAGAGGAGAGAATACCAGACTCTGGTCCAGCACACTCTGCAGGGAGATGTGGTACAGAGAAGCAGGGTGCTCTCAATTAACGGTGCAGAAGGACTCCCCGGGAGGGTGACCAGCGGTGATTATCTTGCCTCCAGTGCCTCACCGGCCCCATTCCCTGGATGTGGTGTGTGTGTGTGTGTGTGTGTGTGTGTGTGTGTGTGTGTCTCCCAGGAGTAGACTCAGACTCACCAGAACAGGGGTGTCTAGGGCAGGAGACTGAAGGACCGGTGGAGACTCCTCAGGGGTGGGGTAGATATGGGTAGCAAAGCCTTAGCAAGCTAAGGGCAAGGGAGACAAAAACCGGTCGGTCCAGGGAACTGATGATCCGGACTAGGCTGGGGGCGGGACCGGCCGGCTCCCTGCCCCTTCCCCGCCTTCACGTCCCAGGGGTGTCACGTGGGGCGGGCGGAAGCGCCCTGAGAGGTGGGCGCGCCTCGGACCGCTGCCGCCTAGCTGGCAGCAGCAGCGTGTGACAGACGGTACCGGGACCCCGGGCCCACCTCGTGTGGAGTTCTCTTCGCTCAAAACAGGTCAGTGCGGTTGCTGGGACCTCCCAGCCGCCAGCTGTGGCCTGCACTGTCCCCATTCCTCAGAAAGGAAAGGCGAGGACAAGCCCGCCTTTCTCGGGGTCGTCTGCTGTGCTCTCCTGCCTGGGGATGGAGTGAGGTGGGGTGGCGTCTGGGTGTGGAGGCGTCCAGCCAGACCCGTGGGAACAGGGACGGTGAGCCGGTGGACACAGCAAGCCGTCAGCTCTTCTGCTCTCGGGCTCGCAGGCTCAGGGGCCAGTAGCGTCAGGCAGCTTGGCTTACCCACTTGAAAAATGAAGGTTCCCACCCAGTCCGCCACTCTTTACAGCCTCGCAAAGCTGTAGGACCTTAGCCCTGGACCTGTAAGTAATCTTGGGCAAGCTACTTCCGTCCTCTGCACCTCAGTTCCCCTGCCAGTTAATGGGGGCATGGTTTCTCTAGAGCCTACCTGGCCCAGTTGCCAGGAAAGGAGGGGTGCTCATTGAATGGGGTCAGGCTAGGAGTGGGTGGATGGGCTTTGAGCAGGCTTGCAGTGCAGCTGGGGATGGTGGGGTGAGTGTTTGGTCTCAGATCCCGTGAGTAGGTTTGAATGCTGGGTGATTTAAGAGCCAGCACAGTAGGTGTCTGCCCCATGTTTCTCTATGTCCGGCGTCCTGGGGAAACCTTCCCTCATTCCTAGGACTCAGCATGTTCAGGCTGGATTTGGTGGGTGCCCAGGTAAGGATTTGACTGCTGCTGGGTTCTGGGGACCCCTGAGACCTGTACTTGGAAAGCTATGACTGGATGCGGGGTGCTTGGGAAAGCCTAGCATCCTAGCACGTCATTACAGGGTAGAAGAAACTCTGGGAACCCAGAGAGGGGTGTGGACAGGTGCGGCCCGGGGAGGAGAGGATGCCTGGAATGAGCCTTGAGTTAAGTGGCAGTTTGCAAAGACTGGGTGCAGGGTGAGGGCCGAGCTTGTGCAGGGCAAGAGGTCTGATAGCCTCCGGGAGGGAAGGTGAGGTGGGTGTGGCCGAAAGGGGTGGCCGGGAACTTATCCTCCGACTCCTGCCTGGCTGGAGTTTGTTTGGTCCGTGGCCTGGGGACCCTGCTCTCCAGTGGCCATTTGCTCACTGGAATAGGGCACAAGTGAGATCCCCAGGCAGGCTATGATGGCTTGTGAGGTGGCCCCAACGCCCCCAGGTTTCATTTGGACATTCGGGCCTCCTAACTTGGCCACCGTCACGTGGAGTCCAGCCACACTCCCCACGCATCAAGAAACAGATTTTTGGGCAGAGGTGTGCCACCCCCTAAGTTTCCTCCTCATCCAAGTTCCCATGTTCTTTGAGACTTCGGGGTTCAGGTGTGTGTGTGCTTGTTGCAGCACCTCCCGGCTTGGTTTTCAGTTCCAGGTAACGGTAGACTTAGGGTGCATTTCCTTGGGTGCTTGTGAGGATGGGAGCAGACCTACCACCAGCTAGGGGTCTGAAGTCTGGATTTTAGCGCTGCCACCAAGCGCTGGGTGACTTTGCCACTCTCTACCCTTTTTGGAGTGCCCTTTCCACATCTGAGGATGTCACAGTGAGCCTGGCTTCATGTCCCGAGCACAGACTGCTATAGCAACAGTCAGGCCAGGTGAATCCTGCCCAGAGTCTGTGTGAAGGAAGGTAGACCTGGGCCAAGGGGAGCAGGGTCTCAGGATACTGGCACTAGCTCCAGGCCTAGGGCCTCTGCCGGAGGGAGGGGAACATCTTCCTTTCTCTAGGGCTTCTCCTTCCTCACTCCACTCTCCCTTGGCTGAGCTCAAAGCCAGCCGCCAGTGCCCAAACAAGTGGCCTCTGTTCCTAGGGGAGGGGGAGGGGAGGCCAGCACTGGGCTCCAGGCCTCCTGCCCAGCACTGACCCTGCCTCCCCCTTTTGCTGTGGGTCTTAACTCTTGGAAGCCTGGGCTGGGCACTGGGCTGTTTGAGGGCAACCGATAGATACGTCTTGTTCGGTCACCATCTACCTTGCTCCAGATTTCCGGGCTCTGTCTCTTTCAGAGGGGACTGATAGAATGTCCTTCTCAGAGCAATGTGTATGTGGGCTACGGGTAGCAGTCGGCTCCTCTCAACGCCTTTCAAGCCCATCAGGCCAGACTTAGTCCCTCCACACACAGCATGAGGGTGTTCGCATTTTAGAGAGGGGCTCTGTGCTGAGAATGACTACCAAGTAGTCTGACAGAAAATACGGGGGCTCAGGAGTGGGGGTGGAAGTGGAGATGGGGTGGGGCAGGGGAGGGTAGGGGAGGAGTCCCAGAGTCCCCTCCAATGTATGTTTTCCACAGAGCTCAGATTTACAGCTTACTCAACACCAGGACCCCCCCCCGCCACAGACACACAGACTACCCCAGTTCTGACAGAGTACATAACATATTGTCCACCCACCCCTCCCCCCAGCCAGGCCCCCAACCTGTGCATTCCAAGTGGGGTTCTGAGGAAGACAGTCCTGAGGAGGCAAAGGTGCCTTAATGACAGAAATCAGGAGTGGTGTGGACCATGGTTGATGGCTCATCATCTGAAGCTTTCCTTGGAATCTCTCTCTCTCATCCTTTGGGTCATAGGTCAGAAAGAAAAGCCCGTTCTATATAATTAAGATTTCTGAGCTGGGTGTGGTGGTAAGCACTCAGGAGGCAGAGGCAGGTGGATTTCTGAGTTCAGGACCAGGGAGTTCCAGGACAGCCAGGACTATACATAGAAACCTTGTCTCAAAACACTAAAAAAGAAAAAAGTAAAATAAAAGATTTCTGTCCTAGATGACTGGGAAGTGACGTGGAATTAAGTGACTAGTCGAATAACATTAATATTCCGGTGCAATAAATTATTGTTTAAGTTCAGTCCTAATAGCAGCAGAAGTCTGTTTGTTGGCCATTCCCCTTTTATAGGTGAGCAAAGTGAGACCAAGGGACAAGGTGATTCCCTACAGACCATCCGTTTCTTAGACTAGCCGGGACAGTGCATTTCCATTGCTTAGAGGGAGATCCTTGAGCACAGCGAGGTTTCCACAGACAGCGGATTCAAACCCAGTCCTACCCTAGGGATTGCGCATGGCAATGACTGGCAGGTTGGCGGGCTGCTTGGTCCCTGACGTTGGTGGTGGTCAGTTTTGGAGTGGGGGGTGCGTGCGAAGGTATCCTATTTGCGGTCTGGCCCAGTTGGACCGCCCCCAGGGGCCCAGTCCGAGGAAGGGCAC